AGCAAAAAAAAAAAAAAAAACAAAAACGGAAACTGTAAATTTATTCATCTGATGATTTTGCCTTTTTTTTTTTTGAAAAATTGGTGAATCAGTCGTTTATTCTCTGGCATCGCTTTTTTTCTGATACAACATAAATCCTTTAGTTTTTTTTTTGTTCACATAACTAGATATAAGACGAGGAAAAAAGTGTAACACATTGGAGTGGATTTTAAGTTGCATCTGCTAAGTATACATTGATACAGCGTTTGAGAATTCCAAAATAGATCAGAAACCGACAATTTGCTGACATCTTGTAATGAAATTTTAAAATTTTATCTTTCAACATTTTCCCAAACATTGCTGCAATTTGACTGCAAAAAAATCTGTTCTGCAAATTTGTTATGAATTTTTGGCAGGTTAATCGTCTACGTTAACGTTTAACGTTTACCAAATTTAATGTTATTTCCAAATTTTATAGTTTAGGATTACTGTTTCTACAGTATCATACTGAGTTGCTGAAAAAATTTTATAATATTTTTTGATTGCTATATAAAAGTTAACTATTATTACCTTTTATGACATTTTTTCAACCATTTGTATGCGTTGATATTGTCTTATTTTTGTCGGTTTAATTTTGCGGCTTTGAAACACTGTCGTTGTTGTTTTAAAATGGCAAAAATATTTGACTTTTAGTATTAATCACAACAAAATATACCAAACAAAATTTGTGGTTGATAAATATTTTCATAAAAAATTTTTTTCCTGTCCAGCAGATAGATGAACGTATACAAAAATTATGAAAAAAAATATTTTTGCATTTGTCAATTTTTGTTGTTTTCTAAAAGAAGCATAAGAAAAGTTTTCTGGAAGAATTTTATAGATATAACAAACAACTGTGTTTCCTTTTTTCAATTTTTATTTTCCTTTTGTAACTAAATTATCCTTCCGTCTTTCCTTCTCTTCTTACCTTGTACACTTATTTTTATAATTTTGCTTTCTATCCTTATTTTTTCCGTTCTCATAAGTAGTAACTTTCTTTTTTCAGCTTTCAGCTTTTTCTCAGTGTCATTTTTTTCTGAAAAAAACATAATTGTACACTTACAGGTACAAAAAAATTCCCATTTTTTAAAGCTTTTTTTTCCGGTTTCCCAAAATTACAATCTCTTTATCCGTCTTAGAAAGAAACAATGACAGTTAATGAGGAAATTTAAAAAGCTATTGTCAAAAATAAAACTGCTTTATACTGTAAATAGTTAAAGAAAAAAAAAGAAGAAGATTGAGCTTAACATTTGAAACGGTACCTTGCTAATGTAGGGCTTCTAATTTTAGCGATAATATCACTTGCTGCAACGATCCTCACTTTTTCTCCTAAAACTAAGGAACAAACTTCTTAATATCCTACTGACCTCATTTTAACTGCGATGTTTAAATTCAAATTTAATGCATTTTGATGACTATGTTCAGTTTTTTTAGTTTTTTGAATGATTGACTGCTGAAATTTAATGAGTGTTTTTTTTTTTCAAAATTTTCAAAACTGTACAGCTGATAATTGATAGCATTTGATTACACTGAATTACTGATATTCAACGATAAAACTTATCAAATAAGAACGTATTTTTTACTGTCATTCCTCCCAACAACAAACGTTTAGCCAAAATGAAACCTTTACATTTCCGTACGTATATTCCGTGGCAAGGGAGTGCTTGCTGACAAATACTACTCTGATTACCGTCAAACAGTTTGCCAAAACGATTTCAGCAATTTGAAAACATAAAAAACTAAATACTTTTTTCCTTTGTTTGAAAGTAGCATTAATTTGTAGAAATCTATCATCGTCTAACAGTTGCTAATGAATATTAACAGTTAACAATTAACAGTTACTGATAGATATTCAAAATTTTCAATTCCATAGTAAAATAGCGTTGAGTGTAACATTGAGAAATTTTTTTGGTGTACTGACGAAACGTACATAACTGTCGACAACAGCCTATAACGTATTCATCCGGTCTTTGTTTACGAGAAAATCAGACAGGAAATAAGTGCGAAAAAACAGAAATAAACTTATCTATTTTTTGTTTTTATTTTTATTCTTTTACGATTGACCATTATTGTAATTTGCAGTAAAACTTTTAGATATTACCACCTATTTTACGACTTATAACAAATATTTTGAAAAAGTTTTCGATGCAATCAATGTGACATATAGAATATCCAGAATCTCAGAAAAAATCAAATAAATTTTTCAGCCATGATGTCCGCAGAAAAAGTGGTGCGATTAACGCTAAAAATACTACAGTTTATAGTTTCTATATTTGTAGTATATTGTTTATTCCGTACAGGACCGCAGTGGATGCTAACACTGGCCTGTCTTATCGTGCCGCCTTTTGGTATCATTTGTTACTTGGATATGAGATATGCATTGTTTTTCCTTCACCTCTCGTCACAACCCCGTTTTTAGCGCAACCAAATTAAGACTACCCAAAAAAGTGTACTTGCATGTAAAAAAAAGAATCTTTTTGTGCTATGAAATTCAGGAATATTCATTATGTTAAAGTCACCAGAAAAAAACAACCATGTGCTGCCAGAAAGACGATACTGGGCAATCGCCAAAGGAAGAAGCTGGATGCGTGTTGACATTACTATGTGCCTTACAATGGCAGTCGTATTTCTTGGATTTGCCATAATACTCTTCTACGGCTTTTTCAAGGTCTTTTTATCATTTGGTCTTTACCAGCAAAAAGAAATGAAGCTTTCCATGTGAATTAACCATGTAGAAACCCTATACAATACTTCAGTTACTCAATCACAATGTTCACCTTTTGTATGCCGGTATTGGATCGTTGATAGCCTCGATGCTTTACTTGTTTAATGTCCTTATCTCATTGTCACAACTCCGAAGCGGCTCAGTAGGTTTCACAGACTCCGAATCGAAGCATCAAGTGATAGGAGTGACTAAAAAAGTACTGCTGTTCTTCAAGAAATCAAAAATTATTTTAAGAATTCAAAGCTTTTTAAAACGAGTATTCCATCTCACAAGACAGTCTCCAAAATTTAAGACCTCTGAGATATCAAGTTCCTCTTTCAAAACTTCTGCTTTTTTCCCAAATAAAAATAAGAATAGCTGCATCTGTCCGGGTCAATACGACAAAAATGTACACACCAAAAAAGAGTGACTTATTCTCTTATCAGTATCTTTGAAACTTTTTTTTAGTTGACTACTCCAAAATTACTACTTACTTCTACCTAAGGAGCACTAGAAACGCCAATTATGACTTTGTTATTTCCATTTTTTTGCACCTGAAAGAACTGATGAGTTTTTGCACTCTGCATTGAGTTCATTGCCATAAGAGAGGTAATAAACTGCTCTTGTTTTCTCAATGATTAGAACCTGCAATAATTTAACCACCAAATTCTTGATCGCTCAAGAACTGTAGCTATCATTATCTTGCAGACACAAAGTTTGGCAACTAAGGGAGCAAACGATGTCAGGCTCAACGTATCCCTATTCGATGCTCCTATCGCAGAACTACCAAAAAAAGAAACCTATACCAGCACCAGCAGTGGATTCTCAAGTAACAACGAAAGAAGTTTTGCAGATCAGTATGCATCTGGCCAGTGTATAACGAAACCCAGAAACGAAAAAAAAGTGGGTTAAATTTAGCAAAATAATTGTCGACGTAAACTTCTCTTGCACCAGAACAACTATGGCAATAAGCCCCGAAAAAATGTAGTTTTTTTTTCTCAAAGAATTCTCTTTTTTTGAAGGAAACGTTAGGAAACCTCCAAAAGCCATTTACCACTTGCAACGGTTTCGCTGCCAGTCAAAATAAAAGCACCAAACAAGTAATAAGATACCGATGTCCGCCTCCGCCAAAAAGTACTTATGTCCTGAAACCAAAATTAATTAAAAACCAGCCCAGAGACAATTACTTAATCAGTGGCCCTCAGATGCAATTGAAGACTGATTTGCGAAAAAAGCCACCACCTCCACCATTGAGATCCAACACATCAAGATCCGATGACACAGGAACTGACCACATCGAGCAGTTTAACGAACGTTTTGTTGCTACCAAATACTCAAGCCCGCAAAGAGAAGCCAGGTAGACAACGGCTGACTAAACCTGACTAACCAGTATTAGATATTTCTCTCTCCGTCTCGATTTTTAATTAAAAAACTACGTCCAAAAAAACCTCTAACTACAAAAAATTTTTTAATTTTTGAATGTCTTTACTGTTAAATACAATAATTTCCAAATTTCACACCAATTTAAACGCTACTCATGAAATGCTTTTGTACCTGGTAAAAGCAAAATTATTATGCAAACATTGCAGAAGTCTCAACAGTGATGCAGGACCAAGTACAGAAACAAATTATCAGCTAAAAGGTCACACCTCTAATGCTAAGACACGTGGTGAAGAAACAAACAGGATCTTCTTCACTAATGCCACAAAAGACGGAATTGGGGCGCAAAATCAAAATATCCTGAATAGTTTCAGCCAAGACAGAAATATTGACAAATTTATAGACGACGAGACCGAAACCCGTAGGAAATTTTTACCATGATATACAAACACTTTAAAATTTTTAATGCAAAATCTTATAAACACTAAAGAACGACTTATGATCAGAGTCGTAACTCTTGCTGGAACATCCTTTCAAAAGCTTATAGAAGCAGCTCATTTATTTTTACCGAGCAACTGTCTAACAGACGACAATCACTACGCTTACTTTCAGATACCCCTATACATTACAAAAGGCGAACTGTTCGTCAAGAAGCTGTCAATGGAGAAGTTTGGAACCGCATGGAGGAGAAAATTGAAATCCAAAAGATTTCTGACTAATTCAGGTTTTTTACCCCACTTTTCTTCTATAATATGAGTAACAATTAAATCCTAAAACCAATATTCAAATTCTGGACCTTTGCAACAATTGGATCACTATGCACAGCAATCAAGCACTTAAAAATAACATGGAAGTACTGCAAGAGTGCTTTTTTGCAAGCCGTTAAAAAGGTTCATTTTATCTACCACTACACGTGTTCCTCTGCCTCATTCACAAATAAAAACAACAACTGCTCTAACTCATCAAACACAAAAAGCTTTCTTGATGTAATACTGTTGTTCTATCCGTACACAAAACCGCCTTTAACATTACAACACCGGTGCACTAAGTTTTAGTTAACACCAAATGTTAGTTAACTCACCGTTTTTAACGAAATCTTTGCTAAAAAATTGTTCAATTTCGGACTTTTTTCAGACGACAACTTCTAAAACCAAATGAAGCAGCAGTCGACAAACATAGGATCCAATCCAACCAAATAGTGCATCGTAAATCGTTAATGGAACTCTAAAACGAAAGATATTATGTACAATGGAAGTTCCACAACAGTCCCGTCCCGTCCTCTGAATGCATCTAACCATGCCGATTTGCCGTAATAGTTTCGCTGATTCAAATGTGCACTAACCCGTCGTGATCTCAGTATATACGCATTCCATTAGTATTTAATAGATATGATGTCTACCTCAAAAATCAAAGCCAATTTCTTTGTCAATTAGTCTGTCGTCAAACATCGTGAAAGCTATAGCTAATAGTGAATGTTCAAAAAACATTAATTAAAATACACACCCTATAAAAGAACTAACAACCTCTCCATAAAAAACGCAACAAAGTACTTAATTTAAAGCAAGGAGCAAAAATGTGATCACATCAAAAAAAAATTAAGGACCACAAGTAACAATATCACCCAAAGCTCAATTTAAGTTTTTTCCTAATTACAGTAAACATCAAAGAAAAAAACCGTCTTCCGTACGCACTAAAAGACCACAAGAAAACAAATTCGGGCAATTTTCCTCCAGAAACATATTGATAAAAAGTTTCTCTGTTAGTTTATTGGTTACAAGAAAAGTACACTGTGACAACTTTCAGGATTTATAAACCCGCCAATAAGAAAGAATTTTGTTCCCGTACTTATTTAAATTTTATTTTCTAGTGTTCCTCCAACCAATGTTTAACTGTTGCTGCAAACTTCTACTTCTTCGCAAATTAAGTATTAACAAATTATGTAGCCGAACTGCCGGCCAAATTATCAAAGTTGCATACTAAGACACTCCAGATCCAAGAAAAAAATTCAAAGGTGATGGAACGGTTGAACAAGTACAAATCATGACTCCTCAACGTAAAACGGCCAGACAATATAGCCGTCTTGTAGACCAAATCATCATTTACTAAAAACAAAAAATTAAATCGGTTTACCTAAGGCAGTTACTACAGCGATAGCTGAAACCCCAGCTTTTAAAACATAGTCTAAGTTCCCCATGGCAATACATAATCACCACCTCACACTAGTCTAAATGCATCAGTGATACAGTAAATTACCCAGGTGCACTGCTAGAGCTGGAACAGTTTTTATACGTGAAAACTAAAAAAACAAAAAAATTATGATTCCTCCCACACGGTTAATAAAAATTCATAAAATATTTTATTCAATATCGTCCAGAAACACCCCCTTTACCACACAAAAAAATACTAAACGTTTTAAAACCAGTAAAAATAGCTTTTCAACCTCGAAACTACTACTAAACTACAGCAGTAGACTTCAAAAAAATTAAACTCATAGCACTCGCCATTCCACAAAACCTTTCAAATTTTTACTTAACAACCTCCACTAGCTTTGAAAGTCAGAACAGAGCAGGAACTGCCACGTTTCATTCCTTCACACATAATGATAAGGAATCCAAACTGCCGAAAATAAAATTTACGTTAAAAAATGTCACATATCACCGTTCTGCAAAACCTCAACAACCATCCCTTTACTTACCTCCATTGAAAACGGCTCAAGCGTTCACAGGAAAACTGCAGTTTTAATACAGCTGCGAGATCCAAAAAATCTATTTCAACCAAACTTCATACCTTACACGAGCTTATTGTTAGCAGAAGAAACCATTCAACTGTTCGGCTCACTAGTTTGCTCCTTCAAAAAAGCGGAATAAACCGTTGTAAACAAAAACTGGTAGATTAAAGAACTGCAATAAAAATTTAAGTTGCAGTCAAACCTAACCACCTTCACGCCAATTCCAATCCTCGCCCCACTCCCTTCCAAACTAATAAATGTTCTACAAAGCTGCTTCCTACAATTTTATTTTCACAAACAGCAGTATTTAAAGCACCAAGAGATTATTTAAAGTTTCCTATTCAGTCACGTAGCACCAACAAAGCTGGTTAGACTACCCGGAACCTTCTTGGCCAAGACCATCTGATATTTAGAACGCACATATTAGCCAGACCGTAGGAGGAAGTGAAACTTACCAAGTGGAGTAAAATAAATACAGATGTTAATATATGCGTGCAGTTGAAAATTTTCAAACCTCTTATTTTGCCTCTGTGACGCCCATTAACGAAACCCTTTTCGCCATAGTTAACTTTCATAAACATCTAAACTCCCCAACATCTGCAGAAACTGTTGAGTTCTAACGTTATTCTGTAACATCGGCTTTTCTTAGAGGTTTTTTTCAACATTATCATTTTCCCCAGTCTGATGTTCTTCTTCACTTTTAAAGCTTTTTTCCAATTTAAAATTCACTACATAATCTGATGCTGCTTCACAATGAGGATCATAATTTGCCAGCCCAGAGCCGTCCCAAAATTTTATTAACATGATTTAGACGGGAGAAAGCTATGCCCTTGAAAAACTACTGAGAGCATTCTTGCGTATACATTAGGATCTAGTCTCTTCAGTTTTCGCTATACCAAATTGGAAAAAAAAGAGGAAAAAACCAAACAAAAATCTTTTGGATTTGGTTTGAAACATTCAAAGTTATTAATAAGTCCTCACATCAAAGGCACGACAGAAACAGGAAGTTATTTCAGTTTTAACAGAGAATACACTTTTTAAAAGCAAATTCTTCGTCCGCAAATTCTGAGTTACAGCCTACCAGTTATCACGTTCTAAAAAACCTGAGACACAAAAACTCGAAATGCAGCGTTTTAAAAGGACCGATCCTACCGAACGTCATATTAATAGCCTCTTCCACCCCAATTACCTTGACCATCTTGCGGTCCGCCCCACGAATGACCTCCAGAACTTTGGTTCCATCCTTGACTTCCACGTCCCCAATTAGAACCCCCTAGAAACTGTCTTTTGTGATCAAGTCTACTAAGAATTAAAATAAGAAGCGATTACGGTAGAAGACTTAATTAGGAAAATTGTGAAAAACACAGTAAACGACTTAATTAGAAAAGCTGTGAAAAACTGCCATAAAGATTAATCGATAAAAAGACTTGCCCGCAGGTGGCGCTCCATTCCCCCATCCACCAGGTCCACTAGTGTTTCCAATGCCACTCCAACCTGGAACACTAACTGTAACTGACCAAACTGCTAAATAAGCTTCATTTCAACTACAAATTCTAAAACATCAAAATAATTAAACAAAATACTGTACCGGAAGCTCCACCATATCCTCCACCGTAACTCGCCCCATATGCACCGCCTAAAATCAAAAAAAAAAAAAGAAAATATAATGCAATTTTTTTAGAAACAAACCGTACCCGTATACTTCTTCTGTAAAAGAATTAAACATAATTATTATCAAGACCGTAGTATGATTGTCGACCTCCAGAAGCTCCTCCCCAAGAACCACCGGCGGGTCCTCCAACGCCCCCCCAACCAGATCCGTAACCACCGTCCGGTCCACCTCTCATGGTACCCCTCGACCGTCCCATACGATCAGCTCGCTCTCTTTCCTGGAGAACTGAGACTTGTCAACAACCACCGCTTAAATCTGATAATATAATTGGAAAGCAGTATTGTAGCGAAACAAATAATAAGATATACCCGTGCCATTTCTTCTTTACTAAGAGCTTTCTTCACATCGCAACGATAATTGTTTATCTGATGACTTTTTATTAAAACACATTTATCAACAGGATCATAATCTTCAAAAGAAATGAAAGCAAAACCACGCGGTTTTGAAGTGGCTTTGTCGAGAATTATTTCTGCCTGAAACCGAGTCACGTCAATTTTTAATGTAACCGACCCTTGACTTCAAAGCCGCTGCCTAATAACTTCGCAGCGAATATGTTTCACCAAAACCGCCTTAACTGTCCCGGAAAGTTCAGCTAAAAGAACGATCAAAATGAAAAGATAATTTAAAAAAATTATTTTTCTCATACTTTCACAACTTTTCCAAACTGTGAAAAATATTCCTCGAACATTTCCTCAGTGTGCTCTTCTCGAACACCTGAAATGTAAAGACGTTTCGTAGAAAGATTTGTTTCTGACCGTTGAGATTGGTCTCGAGGTACGGCTCGTTTTGGATCTACCGTTTTTCCGTCAATCACATGAGGGCGGTTAGCCATTGCAGTGTCAACCTTGAAAAACCTCTCCAGTCAGTAAATTGGCAGGAAATAACCAAAATCAGCTGAGTTGCAAACCAAAATAAATGCCAAATATTTTACTCAGTAAAAACCACCTCAGACTGCTTGGAGAAACTGACAAAGCCAAAACCACGAGAGCGCTTCGTTGTGGGGTCCCTCATTACAATGCAATCTACTAGCTTCCCCCATTGCGAATAATATTCCTTAAGTTGTTCATCTGTTGTCGAAGTGGATAACCCACCAACAAATATTTTACGAAACTGTTCTGGTTCTAATTCATCTTGCTAAAAAAACTTTCCTGCGTATAAAGAAAAGTTCCAAAGAAATATACCAAAAATGCGCGGCCAGCATTTCTCGGATAAATCAAAACAAATTGCCAGAAATATTGCTTACCTGACTTGATACTCAAACTATGACTACCTCAGTCTACTTCTCCTACTTCGTACCTCACAAAATTGTGACACAACGACCAGCCTAAGCCTTAACTTAGCTTCAACTCAGATGACTCTTTACACCAATGCTCCTCCGCCCATTGTATAGACTAACATAAACTGCTTACAACGCCTTCTTCAGCTTTCACCATCGTTTCTAAGCTGTCTCGAAGTAGAAGTTTCTGAGATCAGGTAAAGAACGTAGAAATTACGCAACCACGTGTACAAGGACGACTAAGTATCTTGAACTGTCTGACTTTGATCACCTCAGGCAAATCTAAACTGATAATAAATGAGCTAAAATAACATGACGCTTAATCATGTTCAGAAGCTACCATAATTAAACTAGATTATCCCAAGTGTTTGTTGTAGTGAACTGCTTCATCTGACACTATCAATACAACATCATAATTCTGTTAAACTTATTATACCTTTCCTATAATTTATCATAAAAACTAACAATGCCGTGATACAAGAAACCAACAATTAAAGAGCTGCAAAGAAGGTAAAATAAAAAAAAGCAGTTTCTGGAAATCTGGTAAGGGAAAAGTAGTAAAAAGAAACATGTACCGAGAAGCAAGGAAGAAAAGAGAAAAAAACTAAAAAAAAAGTCACCTAAAACGTTGTTATATAAAACCGCTAACTAAGTTTGTTGTTTTTTTCACCTTCTTCTTTTTTCTCTATTGCTAATAATAAACCAGAAAACTAATCATTTTTTGCCAATTATTATCATCATTCTATCAATCATATACCATTCAATTTGCCAATTTCTTCTCCGTCCAATAACATCTTAATCAAAACTCGTCAAAAGATTAAAAAAAAAGTAGAAAGATTGTAGAAGCTATCACATCAAGTAAAAAAAAATTTAAAAGCAAAAAAAAAGCCTCACATGTAACCTAGCTGACCGAACTGAAGACTATCAATCATTAGAGAGAGCACAGCAACAATTTATCGTTCATTTGCTGCTTCATAACTGATACTGTTACTGAGGTATTGCTCTAAACAAAAGTTAAATGACAGCAACCCGCGTTTGCAGACAAAAAATATCACAGATTACCTCACCTCCAAACCTCCCATCCCCATTCATAAACCCTTTCACCGCCATTATAATGCCAACTGCGCAAACAACGATCACATAGAACATGCTATAACAGATCAATCCAAACGTGAACTTCCACCCAACACCTGGTTTAGGAAACGGAAAAATGGACTTTTCTATCAAGAAAAAAAAATTTATGTCTTACAATAAGAGCGAACTAAAAAAAAGCAATGGTTCTTTTTAACTCTATATTCTTTTATGCAAGAAAAAAAGGTTAGAAAAAGTTATACATAAAACAAATAAATAAATAAATAGAAAACAAAAAGAATGAGTGATAAATGACTGAAACGATTCTTATGAAAAAAAGCTTAAAAATGTAAACAAGAAAATCATGCATTTTTTCTATTGCCGAACCTTCCACTTTCAAATAAATGGGGAAAAGAGGGGATTGGCAAAGAAGCCCCCCCCCCCCAAAAAAAAAAAAAAACTTTTCTTCTGAAAAAACAAATAAATAAACAGCGGTCTTACTGAACCTTATTATACAACAAAAAGAAATACAATCGATTCACACAACAATTTTTTCCCATCTTTCTTCCACACTTTTTCCCTTAATTTTTTCCTTTTTTCTTGCATCAACTAAAAACAAAAAGTACCACAGAGAAAAACAAAACTCGTACACAAAAATATCAATAAATTAGACGTTGGTCAAAATCAATATTTTAATACACACTGTCTGCTTGACGACGTCCCTCAACAAAACCAGAATCTCGCGAGCAAGAGTCTTGGCGACGAATTCAACAGTGCCGTTGTTGCACAACCAACCATTCAACTTTCTCGTTCATGCTTTTCTTTCTAAAAGAACGTTTCATGACCACACAACAGCGAAATGCAGCCATATATTAAAATGCAAAAAAAAAAAAAAAAACGTTTAAACGACTGGGTGCCTAACATGGGAACTAATACTTGTCCAACTACATTACTGCTTTTAACTACCTCAACATCTTCCACTTTTATGACCAACTTAACTGCTCTACCGATTCATTACATCTGCAAAAAACTCCTTTGTCAACGCAATCCAAGAATGCACCAACCAGCTGACATCGCCCTAACATAAAACAAAAC